TCTAAGGATGGAGATTCCACCACCTCCCTAGGTAACCCATTCCAGTGCTTCACCACCCTCCTAGTGAAATAGTGTTTCCTAAAATCCAACCTAGACCTCCCTCACTGCAACTTGAGACCATTTCTCCTTGTTCTGTCATCTGTCACCACTGAGAACAGCCGAGCTCCATCCTCTTTGGAACACCCCTTCAGGTAATTGAAGGCTGCTATCAAATCCCCCCTCATTCTTCTCTTCTGCAGACTAAACAAGCCCAGTTCCCTCAGCCTCTCCTTGTAAGTCATGTGCCCCAGCCCCCTAATCATTTTTCTTGCCCTCTACTGGACTCTCTCCAATTTGTCCACATCCTTTCTGTAGTGGGGGGACCAAAACTGGATGCAATACTCCTGTTGTGGCCTCACCAGTGCCGAATAGAGGGGAATAATCACTTCCCTCGATCTGCTGGCAATGCTCCTACTAATGCAGCCCAATATGCCGTTAGCCTTCTTGGCAACAAGGGCACACTGCTGACTCATATCCAGCTTCTCATCCTGTAATCATCATACTGTAATCACAATGGTTCCTTCTTCTCTTGAATCTATACTGAAGGAATTCCCTGGGCCAGCTACGCTGGTTTTGTAGTCTCTTCATAGCAGTTGAGCTGCTATAAAGAGGCTGCAGCAGGCCCCAGAGTCAGGGCTTACCCCTCCAAAACCCCTATGGGGAGAGCCCTGTGGGGGGAAACAGCTCCCATTCGGCAGGTTCCATGTTGTCTCACTGAAGGAGAGTTGTGCCATATGCTGCAGGTCTGGGAAGACGGCTTTCTGAGGATAGGTCTACCCCATAAAGAAAACCCCACATGTCTAGGGTCCCAGAGCTCAGGCTCCAGCCTGAGCCCGGAAGTTTACACAGCAATACAACAGCCCCTCAGCCCAAGCCCTGTGAGCTCAACTTGGCTGAGACGGGCCAGCCGTGGGTTTTTCTTTGCTGTGTAGACAAGAGTTAAGCAAACCACTGATTTTAGATGCCCCTTTCCTGCCACCAAAAGCAACATATAATGCTACTAATCACAAAACTGTGTGTGTGTGAGGGAGAGAGAAGGGGGAGATAGAATCCTGCTTTTTTGGCTGCAGGAGGAGTGTAGAAACAGGCCCTTAAAGATAATCAGTGTTACATTTAATTAATTCAAACCAAAAAACAGTACACTGAGAAGCAGTGTAGACCAGTGGCTAGGGTACAGGCCTGGGAGTTGAGACCTGAGTAATATTTCCAGCTCCGCCACAGACCTGTCTAACGTTGGGTCAGTCACTTGACCTCTCTGTGCTTGTTTCACCTCCCACCTTTGTCTTGTCTATTTAGCCTGTAAAGCCCAGATCCTCAGAGGAAATCAATGGGACAGGCACCTAAAGCTCTTTGTGGCACGGACTGTCTCTTACCATGTGTTTGTCAATACCTAGCACAATGGAGCCCCGATCTCAATGAGGGCCTATAGGAATTAGTGAAATACAAATGACAACAACAAAATCGAGGGAGCAAAAACTGTTCTTTTTATTCCTTTTATCTCCCTTTACAGATCACAAGAATCTTGTCTTGGCAGGCTATCTTAAGCCAGTTAGCAGGAGATTTCAACAAGTTGGTAAAAAGAAAACAAGACCCCCTAGATCACTGCAATTCAGTGAGAAACTGTTTAAATTTCCTGTGAATCAGTGTTTAATTAAGTGTTCTAAATAAAGTTGGCTAGATGATAAACTCCCCTTAGGACTTTACACAGCAGTCTAACTGGATGCTATTTCGCTTTAATGAAATGTAATTATGTCTAACTGGTGTTCTTTAGCTCTTGTTCCCCATGCTAGGTGGGGAATATCACTCTTCCCATGAAGCGGATACCAGTCCTATTTCTTTTGTATAATAGCAAGCGTTGTCATTTTTATTCTGAGATGTGGTAGTTTTAACTTGTCTCAGGTTCAGAGCCTACTGATTCAGTAGAAACCTTTTGAAACAGGCAGTGGAGGCAGAGGGAGTCTTAACTTTTCACTGAAAAGTAAACATGTGCTTACTTAAGATGAATTTAAGTGCATGCTTAAGTGTTTTCCAAAATGCGGTCCTGGATAGAGACCATGCCATAATCACCCAAGTCTCTGTCAGCTCCAGGCTGGATTACTGCCACATATCCTATTCAGTGCAAAATGGAGCAGCCCACTGATAGCCTGATTTTGTGCCCACTGAAGTCAACAGCAAGGCTTCCATTGAGTTTAATGGAGCAGGCTCAGACAGTGGCTTAGTTGTGCTTTATGCCAGGACCATATTACCCCAGTGCTCCCTGTTTTCTAATTCACTTCCAGTTCTAACTGAGGCCTTGGCTACACTCAGGAATTCACAGCGCTGCTGAGGCAGCGCTGTGAAGCGCAAGTGTAGTCGCGCCGCCAGCGCTGCGAGAGAGCTCTCACAGCGCTGTATGTACTCCACCTCTCCAAGGGGGGTAGCTTGCAGCGCTGCAAGCGAGCGTGCAGCGCTGCAGGCTCTGATTACACTGGCGCTTTACAGTGCTACACTCGCTGCGCTCGGAGGGGGGGGCGTTTTCACACCCCTGAGCGCAGCAAGTTGCAGCGCTGTACAGCGTCAGTGTAGCCAAGGCCTTAGAGAGTGAAAGCCATTTAAGTGTTGGAATTTAGGTAGCTTTCTCTCTTAGTGTTTTACTCAGGCAACTGAGATGAGCTGGGATACTCGTACTAGGAAATCTGAGCTGTGTACTCTTGCCTGTTCTTGGCGGAGGCCGTATGGCTCCAGAACCTGCTTGGTCTGATACAGCACAGGTTGGCTGACTTTCCAGGAATGCTAGAGCCTTTCTGGTCAGGCAGGCTTCTTCCAAATGGATGAGTTGAGAGCTCTCTGGCTGTCTTGCTCTGCCATGAGTCTGGGCTGCATTTCACGTAGTTACTCCTGTATTGAGCTCAAGAGCTTGTATTTAGCTAAAGCATATCTTTCAGAAAGGCATCAAGTCTTGACTTGAAGATATGGAGAATCTACTACTTCCAATGGTTAATCACATCTCACCATTAACAATTTCTGCTTTATTTCTAATGTGAATTTGTCTTGCTTCAGCTTCCAGCCATTGTTTCTTGTTTTGCCTTTCTCTACTAGATTAAAGAGCCCCTTTGTACCTGGTATTTTCTCCCTATGAAGATACTTATACACTGTAATTAAATCACCTGTCAATCTTTTGAATGAGCTAAACAGATTTGGTTCTTTAAGTCTCTTACTGTAAGGTATGTTCTCTAGTTCTCAAATCATTTGTGTGGCTCTTTTCTGCGCTCTCTCCAATTTTTCAACAACTTTTTTAAAATGTGCACACCAGAACTGGACATATTTCAATATCTGGCTCACCAATGCCAGATACATAAGTAAAAGCTCCTCCCTACTCCCCATTTATATGTCCATGTATCACATTAGTTGTTTTTGCCACAGCATTGCATTGGGAGCTCATGTTGTTGCTTGTCCTGTACGACCCCTAATTTTTGTAGAATTACTGTTTTCCAGAGTTTATTCCTCCATTTTGTAAGTACGACCTTGTATTTGGTTGTACTAAAATATATCTCTGTATAATTGCCCTATCCTCATCATATTTTACCATTCCACCAATCTGTGTCATTCTGCAAATATTAGCAGTGATTTGATATTTACTTCCAAATAATTGATACAAGTGTTGCACAGTCAGTCCTAGAACCAATACCGATGGAACCACTCTAGAAACACACCCATTCAATGGTGATTCTCTATTGACTACTTTTTGAGATCTGTCAGTTAGTTCTTAACCCATTTAACATGTGCTTTATTGTTGTTGTATAGTTCTAATTTTTAATGAGAATGCCATGCAGTACTAAGTCAAATGCCTTACAGAAGTTTAAGTAGTTTACATCTATGCATTTACCTTTATCTATATCAACCAAACTTGTAATCTCATGAAAGAATGAAATCGGGTTTGTTTGACCAGACCTATCTTCTATTTTTTTCCTTGTGAGGCTATAATTTACTGTTTAGATAGTATTTAAAACATTATTTAAAAAACACCTAATAAAATTTAGGTTTCAAAATGCCGTAAAAAGGACACAAAAATTGCAGTGATCCATGACATAAGCTAACAGCATTACACAATGTGTATTTTACACCAGAGCACTGAAGTTAAGACGGTTTAAATTCCATGTGAACCAATGTTAATTAAATGTTTGCTAAGTGGTAAATCCCCTCCTTGGTTACACAACATCCTAACTCCATGCTATTATGTTTCAATGAAATATAATGATGCCTCACTGCCTGGTGTTCTTTAACTCTTGTTTCCCGTGCTATGGGGTGGAGCTACTCAGTCCCATGCGGCAAAGGCCAAAATGTTTGTTTTTTAGAAGGATTGGGTTTGTAATTTTCATTCTGATACAGCAAAGTCTGCTTCGTCCGATACGCGTCAGGAGTGACATTCTTGCTGGCTCACGATTTTTGGAGTTTAAGGCCCCAGGTCCTGGAGGCCTGTGATAATCATAAAAATGTTAGGCAGGAGGGACCACAGGAAACCATCTAAGGCCGCCCCCCAGGCTGAGGCAGGACGAGCTCTCCCTAGACCACCCCTCACAGGGGTGGGTCTGGCAGGACCTGGTCTTCACAGCCTCCCCTAGGGACGCCCCCTCCCCAGGGCCGAGGTGTTTGACTGGGGTCCAGGAAAGCCAGGAGCCGGGCCTGGGTGAGCCGTTCCCGGGGCTGAGCGAGCCTTGGGGCCAAGCGCCGCTCCCCAGAGCCCAGCCGCCGACAGAGCGGGTCTGTCCACCCGGGAGCGGCGCAACCCCGCCCCCCAGCCCAGCCTGGGCGGGGCCGCCGGGGATCCCGCCCACCTCCCAGTTGTTTCCAATCAGGCCAGCGCCTCCCGCCCCCGGAAGTGACCTCTGAACCCGTGACCTCACGTCCGGCGCGCCGTGCGTGGTGTACCCGGAGAGCGGGCGCGGCTGTCCGCCCTGGTGCCGGTGCTGCCCCGGCGCTTTATGGCAGCGGCGGGCGCGGGCGCCGCGGGGCCCGGCGTCATGAGCGACAGCGACGCCCTGGACTACTCGGTGCACGAGGCCTGGAACGAGGCTACCAACGTCTACCTGCTGGTGGTGCTGGCCAGCCTGGCGCTGCTGGTCTACGCCCGCCGGTGAGGGGCCGCCCGCCGGACCCGCTCCTGTCCGAGAGCACCGCCCCCTGCACAGCGTACTGCCCAGGCCCTGCTAAGCCGGGCCGCTCCGCTGCCGGGGTCGGGGGGGCTGCACCCGGACACCCGGTCCTCGGGGAGTTCTGGGCCAAAACAACAGTAACATTCTGCATCATTTGTTTGTCAAACAACCCCCCCGTAATCACGCCAGTTTTAATTAGCTGGGTAAATGGATTTCAGAATACCTGTCTGCAAGTGTGTTACACAACAATACAGACAACAACAGAGTCAGGACATGGCTGCTTGACAAATCCATTCCTGCCTGGGCATATTAGTGCGGCACTTTCAGTAATAATTCATTTAGATGCAATACGGAAATCTATTTCCTGCACCCCTCAAGCAGTGCAAAGTCTTTGGGGAGCCGGGGTAATGGGGCAGCTCAGGGAGCGGAAAGGAGCCTGGGAGTAAACCTGTAGGGTTGTTGGATGTGGGTGGGAGAAGCATGGAACAGTTTTTTTAAGAGGAGGAAGGATTGTTGCGGAGCATCCACCATGTAGACCCTGGCTGACCCCTAGCCTCTCCCATTCAGTCATGCATATCTGCCCCTTTCCCCATGCGTCCCTGCAGCCCTTCCCCCTCCCTCGCAGCCCCCAGCTCAATACTGTCATCTCTCTAGCCCCCCCCCCACTAGCCCTTCTGAACCTACGTGCGCTGTAAGCTGTGGCTGCGCAGCAGGCTCTCAAGGGCCACACAGGCAGGTGGGAGAGGTGCCCCTCCCCCAGCCCAGGCCCACCAGAGCTGCAGGGGAGAGGAACCCAGGCCCGCCAGAGCTGCTGGGGAGAGGAGCCCCTCACCCGGTCCTGAGCTGCTGCGGCAAGAGAGGGCTGGGAGGGAGTACTCTCTCCCCACTGCAGCCCCAGGGCAGTTTGCACCCCAAACCCCTCATCCCTGGCCCCACCCTAGAGCCTGCACCCCAACCCTCTGCTCCAGCCCTGAGTCCCCTCCCCCTGCATCCCAACCCTCTGCCCCAGTCCTGAGCCCCATCCCACACTATGAACCCCTCGGCCCCATTCCCACCACATGAAATTTGTTGTGCTCAAGGTAGTTTTTTAATACTTAGCTTGTAAATAAAGACCTGGGAAGATACTCTTTTTTAAATACTTGGAAATGTTGTGTTGCAGGTTATTTAATATTCCTTTCTATATTTTAGGAATAAAAGGAAGATCATGCGAATATTCACAGTGCCTCCTACAGCAGAGGCACCGTCAGAGCCAAACTTTTATGACAGTATGAAAAAAATCCGCTTACGACAACAATTAGAGATGTATTCTCTCGGTAAGATTGTGCTCTCACCTCTGCGATGTTCAGATTCCTGAACAGTCAAAGAAAGATGCATGTTTTAAAATAAGAGTAAATATTTGGACACTGTAGCTCTTTGTATCACAAGTAGAACAAAATCTTACACTGAGGGCGCCCTGAGCTATTTTGTGCAAGGTTCCACGTTGTCGGAAACTAACAATTATGGAAAATCTAAGGGCCTAGTTCTGTCCTCACACGTGCAACTCTCATGTAAGGCTCTGATCCTGAAATATGGTAACTTCAATAGGGCTCTATGCAAATTCACCATGTGCAGCACATTGCAGAATCAGGCCCCTACTGTATGGGTATTTTAGTTGTCAACAATGAATCTAATATGGCAACTAGAAATAGCTCTTAAGGCCAGAAGGGACCATTATGATCATCTAGTCTGACCTCCAAATACTAACGTGCAGCAGAAGTATTTATAACTGCAAAGAGCTCAAGGTGGGATTTTCATAGGCTCTCAGCATTGGCCTAACTTTGCTTCCATGGAAGTTTTATTATTGTATGTGTATTATTTATGTGTACCAACAGTTCCCAATTCTTTATTACAATACCAACTGTATCTGGTGTTGGGCAACTCTTCATCGGCATGTAGCTGTCAGAGCTGCACCAGCCACCCCCACATTGGCATAGGAGGCAGTGTGGCAGAGCAGAGCTCCAAGGCCCATCTCAGGCACACCCTCAGAATCAGTGAGCCTCAACAAGCTCCCTGATGGCATCCCCCCACCCCAAAGAACAATAACCATACACAGTTGTGGAAGGGTAGATGACCAAGAAAAATCTAGTGTTTTTGAGTCCTGGTGTCTAAAAGGTGGTTTCAATTCTAAAATCAGGCCACCATCTAATCTATGAATGAGCATGGAAGGACAGGATCACATCTCCCATACCCTACTGTCTTTCTGGTGTGGGAATTTTTAGTGTCCCACAAACTAAGAACACAAGAATGGCCATAGTAGGTCAGACCAATGGCCCATCTAGCCCAGTATCCTGTGGCCAATACCAGATGCTTCAGAGGAAATGAACAGACCAGGGCAGTTATCGAGTGATCCATCCCTTGTTATTCACTCCCAGCTTCTGGCAGTTAGAGGCTTAGGACACCCAGAGTATGTGTTTGCAAGCCTCATCATCTTGGCTAATAGCCATTGATGGGCCTACGTATCCTGAGTTACTTTCTTGGCAAGGAACAGCATGATTGCAGACTGGCTTAACTGATCTTTGTGGAGAACTCACTCACTGACAGATGGCTCCTAAACTGAGCGGGTGGGTCAGTATCTGTCATGTTCTCTGGTTAATGGGTTCCTATGCTCCTCTGAGTACTTACCTTTTAGAAGTTCTTGTTTTATGAGGAAAGGATTTGGTTTCTAGAAAACTCTTCAGCACTTTCTGGTGGTGGTATACCTTTACTTACATACTGCAGGGTTGATACTGCTCCCCTTCCTTCCCCCACTTAGCTGGAGAATGATGGGCTATTTCCACAGTAGATGTGGGATATTTATGATGATGGTTCTAGGAGTGGTTTATGTACTCCAAATTGGTGCTGGAAAACTGCAATTGGCAGTTTTAACTTTTTTGTTCATTGATCCTTTGGGTGTTATTTTTCTCTTTCTGTGGAGACCTCTTTGAACTTTGTAGCCTCCAAGAGGGGGATTATTTTACAACTGTTGCTATAGGTGGAGTGGGTGGAATTCTTTTCATAAGGTACAAGTTGTAATAGATCCTTGTCACCTTCCAGCTGCTTTCCCTGTAGAGTTGGAGATATGTTTGATATGTTGATACTCCAAACTTCCATGGCAGCTAGAAGCGTCAGGGAGCCCACTACACTGGGAGCTAGCATCCTTCAAAACTCTTCAGGTATGGGAGTTTCCAGCTGGTTTTAGACTGGAAGCACAAAACCCAAATGTATGCATCTATTACAGTGTATACCTTCTGAAAAGGATTGTTAGAAGAAAGTAAGTTTCTTTTAGGTTCTTCTCACCAGGCCCACAATGGCCATATAGCGCTTATGCATTAATTTATATTTTTAAATACCATCTACAATAATAAAATATACCATATGTATGCAAGGGTATAGCTAGAGTTGCTGGGGGAACCATAACTTTGCATTGTTTCCTTACAACTTCTAAGTATATATAAATTAGCAGCATAGGTTTTGCCAGGACTGTCTCAGTGGGTCAATGGCAGTAAGTCTGAGCAATGTCATCACAGGAGGTGGTCCCTGAAAGGCGTATCCATTTGGGGAGAAATTTGACTAAAGGTATTGAGCCATTGTGGATCTGCACTCACCTATTGGAGTAGTTCAGAAGCAGCCTTCATCCTGCATTCTGCTGTGTACAGCTAATGCTAACTTCTGCTTTCAAATCACTGCCAAATAATGTGACTTCTGCTCACTGGCAACTGGATACCTCAGCGGAGTGGAATAGATACAGTTTCTTACCACTATGAGTTTTGCTAGTACTTTCATTGCCTTTGAAGATATAGAGGTAATTGTTTAGAAAAATTTAGGGAGATCCTCTCCCCTTTCTGTCCACATTTCTGACTGAAAGATTTCAGGATGTATCCCAGATGTTTCCCTTCCCATCTAGGGTGACAACTCTCCTTTCCATCTCCCCTGTCTTTCATTAGGATGTCTTAAGTCTACCCTCTGGGTTTCCAGAACATGTGAGCTGGATTGAGTGCCCAACTCTCCCACCCATTCTGAAGTTATGAGCTGTCTTTATAAATAGTTTATCTCAGGCTGAGATACTTTGCTTCATGGTCACAATTGGCATATTAGAAGCTGCTTAAATCAAGTTTATTACCCAGGTAGTTTCCACTGGGTAATAAACTTGGCTAATGCTTTTTTTCTTAGTAGTCTCTAGAGCTTTTTAGTCACAGAGAGTGGGACTATATTCTAACTAATTAGAATCTTTTACAAGTTGTAATAGATTCATTCATGCCCACACAACCTTCCCAGCAGTGTTGTATATATATTTGCATCCTTTACTGTTGTCTTCAATTAAAAAATAACAAATGGTGGCATTAAGGGTTGTTACACCCTGTCAGTTTAAGTAGAACATAACATCTGATTTTTGTTGAGTAGTTACTGCCTCTAAATTTAATGAATTGGAAACTTTGTGAAATCAGTGGTTTTCCTTCAATGAAACATTTATTTAAATTACAGACCAAGACTGGTCTCATACCAGAGCTACTTTTCCTATTAAACCCACCTTCCCAGTGATCACCATGCCTTTATGGAGTATAAGGGATTACATAATTTAATCATGTTTTAACTCTTTTCCAGCAAGGAAGTATGACCAGCAGCCGCCACCGAAACAGACTGACAGCGTACAGCTCTCAATGGAATGAAGTCTCAAATTGTGGGCACTAAAGCAATTTTTACAGTGCTGATCATGACAGGAGAGTTGGTATGGAGTCATTTTCAAAGGAACTTTAATGGCGTATGTTTTTTAAAAAACCCTCTCCTAAAAATATATTTCTTGGAAACTTTTCTTTGGGCCTGTTTAGGTACTTACTGAACATCTGTTGATTCTTTAAAAATGAAAGCACCTAATACATTCCAGTCTTGCTCAAAGAAACACTTGAGGGAAGATGGCTGTAGTCCATACTAAAGAGATGTTCAAAATGTTCCAGTGGTTTCCACTGTTGCCAATACTTTGGTGATCAGCTCCTTTGCTGAACAGAGGTATTTTTGCAACATGGCAATAGAGGACATTGGGGTTATTGCGTAAGTTTCTACTGTCTGTCTCCTCTGAGGATGGTTTCTTAGGGGAACACATGGAAAAGTCATGCAGTGCCTACGTGCCTGAACATTGCCAAGTTTTATGTCTCATTTGAACACCATTGGCTTCTGCTGTCAGGGACCACAGAACAGAACATTTACAATACATGTAATTGTGCTGCTGTAAATTCACAGCTGAAGTGAATAGCTCTTGAGAGCCAGAAATGTATATCATTGGCCTTATTGGAGGAAAAAAATGAAATTTTCATCTGTACAGAGAGCATAATTATAGTACTGTACTTTCCATGCTGAAGCTTTAATGAAAGCTAAGATCAGGAGGGTAGTACATAAGTCTTTTTTGCTAAAGGACTGTATATTGTAATGCTGTAGCGAAGATTATTAAAATTAGAGAGGACTCCAATAAACCAGCCAGCTAAGTGAGGTCTCTCCCTGGCTAGCTGGAGCACTTGATTGCCTGTTCTTTTCATTCCCTCTGAAGCACCTGGGATTGGCCACTGTTGGAAGATGGACCATTGGTCTGATCCAGTATGGCCATTCTTATGTCCTCCCCCAGTCCCAGGGGCAATTATCAGCCAGTGCAAACTGGTGAGTCTCTTAGGATCAGATTAGGACAGAAAATCTGACTTGTATCCTTTAACATGCCACAGTAGAGCTGTGCAGATGGAGAAATAATACATATGGAGCAACAGAGGAAGGAAATGCTGATTCTGACAGGAAAAATGCAGCCTAATACATCTGTAAAATAATATTCAGTGGGAGGGGAAGTTAAACTTGTAAACGTTGGATATCAGAGAAATTAGAGATTGAAGAAACCTATTAGGTTATTTATATCTGTCCTTCTGCTAGTGAAGGATTGTATTTATACTAAAGTTTCTACTTGTAAATTTCAAGTGGTGGATCTTCCTTTGGAAGATTTCATCAATAGTAGATCTCAAGTTGGGAAGTTGCTCCTGATTTTCAGCCTTAATTTCCCCTTCTTAAAGTACTCTTGGGTATGTGAGATGCTGTTTGTTGTATTGTATTTTAATGTGTTTAATGGCATTTAATAGTAAAATACATATTGAACGGAAGAGCTTTTCTGAGACATTTTCTTGGCTACAGTGGGCGGGGGGGGGGACACGAGCCTGGCGTTTCCATGCGGCTCCCGAGACACACTGAAGCGAGGGACGCGTACTTGCCCCCCCCGGTGACCAGGGCAGATCTCCACGATCGCGGTGGACGAGTGAGGCAAGAGCTCCAGGCCCTGGCGGATCCGAACCTTCCCCGCGGCACCCGGGAGTGCCCCGCTGTGACGCCGGGCAGCGGGGAAGGGGGGCCGCGAGCTCGGTACGGGGCTGCGGCCGGGGGGCGAGAGGGGTCAGTCCGAGGAGGGCGAAAAGGAAACGTCCCCGTGGGGGGGAGCGGCCTCCCCAGGCCCGTGCGGCGCGCGGCGGCCGCGGCCTCGCTAGCAGGCGCGCGCACTCCTCGGCCGGTGGCCCCCAGGAGTGACGCTGGGCCCGCGTCCTCACGTCCCTCTGCGCTTCCGTATCCGGGTCGCGCGCGATGTCCCTGCGCCGAGCGCGAGGCTGAGGCTGGAAGGCGCCGGCTGGGCGGTAAGTAGGAGCTGCCGCGCGCGCGGCCCGGCCCCTCCCCCCCGGTGTGTGTCCGGCCCTGGGCCGAGGAACGCCCCGAGCCCGCGCGGCCCGCGGGCGGGCGGGGTTGGAGTCAGGCTCCCGGGGCGGAGGTTACCGCCGCTCCTCAGCCGGTGCCCGCTAGGCTCGGGGGAGCGAGGGGCTGCCCCAGCCCGGCCCCGCCTGGCGCCACAACCCCCCCTCAGATCCCCGGGCGCCAGGCCCCTGCCGGGCCGGCCCCCGCCCGGGGCGAGAGCAGGAGGCTGAGGGGGGTGGGGAGCGAAGGAGACCCGCCGTGGGGGGCGCCCCCAGGGACAAGGCCCCCATGCACTAGCCGGGTTATGCGCCAGCTCCCCGGCCAACACAACGTGCCCCGGCGGCGGGGGCCGGGCTTGCCCCGGGGGCGGGTGTTTGAAGATCACTTGCAGCCGAGCTACCCGAGGGCGCGTTTCCCTCCCCGGCCGGCCGTGTTCAGACACGCGAGCCCCGGCGAACGCAGCTCGCCGCAGGACTCAACGCGGGCCCGAGACCCACTTCCCCGGAGCGTGCTCGGGGCGGGAGTGCCCCAAACGCAGGCGCGGGGTCACTAACCTTTAGAGCTTTGCTTTTCTTTAAAGTGAAGAATGTGGTTAAAAAAAATGCCCGCAGGCAGAATTAGGGAAACGAAACATTTTACCCTGAGGATGGAGGCGATTCACTTTGGGGCAGGTCTGCGGAACAAAGAGAGGTCAGCCCAAGTACATGGCTCAGGGCTGTGAAACACTTCCTGCCCTGCGTAAGCCAGCAGAGAGAAGAATTCTTTTGATCGATCGCAGGGGTGGGCAAACTTTTTGCCCTGAGGGCCCCATCTGGGAATAGAAATTGTAGGGCGGGCTGTGAATGCTGACAAAACGGGTTGGGGGGGGTGAGGGGTGTGGTTGGGGAAGCGGGCTCTGGGGTGGGGCTGGGGATGAGGAGTTTGGGGTGTAGGACAGTGCTCTGGGCTGGGACCGAGGGGTTTGGAGGGCCGGAGGGGGATCAGGGCTGGGGCAGAGGTTGGGGTGCAGGAGGGGGTACAGGTTGAAGCTGGGGGTGCGGGCTCTGGCGTGGGGCTGGGGATGAGAGGTTTGGGGTGCAGGAGGGTGCTCTGGGCTGGGATCAAGGGGTTCAGAGGGCAGGAGGGGGATCAGGGCTGGGGCAGAGGGTTGGGGTGTGGGGAGAGGCTCAGGGGTGAAGGCTCCGGGCGGTGCTTACCTCAGACAGCTCCGGGAAGCAGCAGCATGTCCCTTCTCTGGCTCCTACGCGGAGGCGCGGCCAGGCAGCTCCGCATGCTGCCCCATCCGCAGGCACCACCTGTGCAGCTCCCACTGGAGCACTGGAGGGGGCCATTGGAATGCATAAGAGCCAGAGTGGGGCCATATCACTGCTTCTGGGACCCACATGGAGCGCTCCCCGACCCTGCTTCCCAGCTGGAGTGCCGGAGCGGGGCTATGCGGCTGCTTCTGGGAGCCGTGTGGAGTGGCCCCGACCCGGCTCCCTGGCTGCAGCGCCAGCAAGCCCCAGACCCCGCTCCGCAGCGGGAGCTTGAGGGCGGGCTTAAAACGGGCCATAGTTTGCCCACCCCTGATCTATCACCTCTCCATTGCTATAGTAAATGATCTAACCCCTTCCATTGTTATAGTAAATGTCTATGCTACAGCGGCACAGCTGCAGGGTTTCTCGTGTAGATTTACCCTTAGTCCATGTGACACCAATAGAAAAGAACAAATGCAAGTAAAATATAAATGGAAATTAGGAGGACTAAGAGGAAGCTTGAAGGGCAAAGATCCAAAGAGATACAAACAAATAAGAAATTATTTAATAAGCAAGAGCGTCTAGAAGCAAGAAGCCTTTGAGAATTGTTATGTTCATGAACTACCAAAGAGTAAAGGGAGCAATTAAGAGGAAATGGATATTGTGGAAAACTAATGATTCTTTGCATCAGGCTTCATCACAGACTTACTCCAGACCTATGATTTTTAGGCATTAAAGTTGAGATACTGTCAGAGACTGACATGTCAAAAGAGGAGATACTGGAAAAACAGCAACAAGTTACTAGAACTGGATGATATATACCCAATAGTTCTGAAGGAATTTAAGACTAAAGTGCTTAGCTATTAACGAAAATGTGCAATCTCATTAAAATCAGTCCCTGTATCAGAAGACTGGAGGGATAGGAAACACTGTCTCTATCTAAAACAAATCTAGGGACGATCACAGGAATTAAAATTTCTTTAATGGACAGTTCATTCCATAATTTTCCAATTCGGGGATTCTTGCGCCTTCCTTTGCAGTATCTGATACTATGAGGCAGGATATCAATCTGACCCATTATTTACAGTTCTTGTGTTTGTAAAATGGTGGTCAAAGCTATCTGCAATTTATAAGTCTTGGTTAAATCAGTGTGTAGTGTGATTGACTGTGCATAGACCTTGTCTGCCTTCACACTGAATCTTGTGTTAGTAAGAACCGGCTATCCACTAGTTCGGGCATTCCCAAACAGGTGTGTGTATACCATTGGTGGTATGTGAATTTGATGTTCTATCAGCTCACTTCACAACAATTTTTAAGAAGGTAGTATATGAACCAATAAAGTTTGGGAACAGCTGCTAGTTGATTACTATGGCTTTATAATACAGTTTATGGAAATATGGCAGTCTTGATATAACTTTTTAAATATAATCTTACTAGAAACTTAAATCTCATCTAAAATATTGTACCTATTAGTATTACTAGTAAAATGTCCATTACCGTAACTGAAATAAATCAGAGGAAAATATTTTTTTCCACTTTGTACACTATTATTTCCCATGAAGTCTGTCAATTTCTCCTGTTTTGGGTTTTTCCACATAACAGGAGATGCAAGTTTTAAATAATCAAAAACTTTGTTGTTGGGAGGGTTTTTTTCCTTGGGTTTTTTTGGGGGGGAGGGGGGAGGAGAAGGGTTGCCAGGGAGCATGGGCAGAGCAGAGTTAACCAAAATGATTTTTGCTTTTTGTGAAATTGACTGGTTTCAATTTGTCCCTTTAAAGATGGCTCTTGCAAAGTCCCTAGTTCCAGCATCAGTGTGGACAGGCTAGTAGAGAAGTTGCTTTCTTTCCTAGTTGAGGAAAAGGGGGGGAAAGGGACAAAGAGATGTATTGGTCCCTGTGTGGGAAGGGATTGAGAAATGTGGGCTCGCAAAACTAATGTAGTGGAAACAACCAAAATGACAATCCTTTAGTTGGTAGTAATGTTACATGGGCAGGCAATAGTTAAGTGTCCAACATACTGTGTACAATACAGTAAATGAATCCAAATACTGTATCCACTGGGTCCATGGATGGTTCTTTTTAATACCCTTCCAGAAGATGACTCAACTTCACACAAGCAGAGAGTTCTGAATATTCCTTTTCTGTACAATACATATCTCACAATAATGGAAATTGGAAAAGGTCCTGATGGTTCATGACTGGATTTCAGAAGTTTCACACTGTCATCAGTGAAAAGAACTGGCTTACAGACTGAGAAATAAGATGTTGAATCCTTGAATAAATACTTCCATTTTTTGTATTTGTTTAAAATTATAAAAAATACTGTTTGGAAAACTGGTACGCACTAGTCTGTAAAATGGAAGTGCGGCTTGTTTATTCGTTTTAATAAAACATTTAAAAAAATCTTTCCAATTTACTAATCAAAATGATCTTTCTATGTACAGTAGCTAAGAATTTCCAGGTTTCTGCTAAACTGAGCTGGAAGCAATTGTGAAATGTTCAGAAATTCTGAAATAGTATGAAGCTGTGTTTGTTTTCATGGAATCAGGGTACAGATATTAAAGGAGATTAGGTTTAGTTCTTATGACCTTTACTTTGAAGAGCCAAGATAGTTTGGTTATTTTAAGATGGAGCAAGAAGAGAGAAATCTTGTCCAGAATACATATATTTTACAGTAAAGAAATCACTACTTGTAGTGGCTTGTGAAGAATGGTGCTTGAACCATGAATGAGAGAGAAGTGGTGTGACGAAGTGGGAATGTTCTTGATGTGTTCTTTGAATACTGAGTGGGGAGTATTCACCTGGGAAGGTTGCAGGGGAGTTTTGCTGGGACTGTCTGCATGGGGGATGGGAGACTTTCCTTGAGGGAAGTTACCTGAGCATGTAACATGAGAACCCAGGAAAGGGGTTGGAGGCCAGGTGACACCTCTGCCACTGGACAAAGGCTGGGGGAGGAGCCGGGGGAAGGCTGAGTAAGAGGGCTGGAGGGGGTTTGAGTTGGAAGCTGGCTGGGGAAATGGAGAGGAGCCCAGATGGGCTCTGGTCTCCCAACGGGGCTCTGGCCTCCCTTGTCTCCCCCCCGATGGACCTAACTGAGGGGGTCCTGTTGTCGGTACCTGCAAGACCTGTCTTGGACTGTGTTCCTGTCGTCTAAATAAACCTTCTGTTTTACTGGCTGGCTGAGAGTCG